TCACGGCGACATGCTACCACTCGGCGGCACAGCCACATGTGCCGGGAGGGTCACGGCGATTAACGTGACTCGCCTACCCCATTTTATAGTGTGTCGGTAAGGCAGGCCTTTATCTGCCGCTGCGATCCACAGTACTACTTATTTACGATGGGAGTAGTTGGAGAGACTATCGGTAAGTTTCTTGAATACACTCCTGCCCAGTCTAGATCGCTTTAGGTGATTTAGTGGTGCTATGCGGAGCTGTCGTTATTGTCGACGATTGCCGCCAAACTACCGGGAATATATCAAGCCCATGGTATGATGCTGGAAGAGGACACGATTGCAACAGCGAAAATTGCTGTATGGGTTGCCCACTTCGAAGTCTCGTTCAAAATAGGCCAAAGCGAAAAAAAAGGAAATGTCATCAAGTCTCTGCAATACAAGCAGGCAGCAACCAACCGAATGGTCATACCAATCGCCATCAGACCGGCCCTTGCTATGCTTACTATCGGGCCGCCTCTGAGACTTGATGCTATGCATCCCTTTTGGCAGCTCCTTCAAAGGAGGATGCTCGATCTTGCTGTTGCAACCGGCCTCGCTGGCTCCAATGGTTGCACAAGTGCCGATTCTATCTCTACGTATGAATCACCGTAGGGCATCAGAGCGTCATTCGCTCGTCACAACTGCATGTCCAGCTTTGGGGCCATGGGCCATACTTGAAAGCATAAAATTGCACCATTTTGGTTCGGCCAATTTCGATTGGTATAGCACAACTGAATAGGGTGAAAAATGAAAATAAACCAAATTTAATTGAAAAAATTATTTTTTACTGATGCGCCAAAATTGTTTATATTACCTGATTGATTATATTTTTTTTATTTTGATAGACAATGATGTACACACAATGTCATAGTGCTTTGGATTTTGAAATGAGGTTTTCGAGACTAACCGTCGTCCAAAGTAATGACACATTTGTGATTGACTTTTTTCATATTCATATGAATAGGTTTCAGGCTTCCATTGAATTTCACTTAACTTGGCTTCATAGACAATCCCATTCCAGAAAGTGATATGAGAATAACCTGGTCGTACTTGACATTCGCGTCTTCTCTGTGACCAAAGAGCACTTGCGGCAGCTCGGCCACTACAAGCGGCGTTCGAGTCCCTCTCGGGATCGGATGCAATGCAATGGAAACCTAAGGCCTACTTTGATTTGTTTTTTTTGCAAAATTCAACTATCATTCCTTCATCGTCTTAGACAGACAAAATAGAGTGAATACATCTCCTATAATATATCTACGGGTAGTCTCGAAAAAAGTTGGCCTCCTTTTGTTCTAATCTTTGGTGAAGATTTGTCAAATCGGCAGATAGCTACGGTTTCGTCGTCAAGCCGAAGGTATTACTGACTAACCATTAGTAGTTGAATCTTTATCAGCTATCTGGGATCTGATTTTGGGGACAAAATTCACCGTTTTCCTGAGCGCGGGTTACGTCTAGCTAAACCGGTTGGGCTCATGTGGCCGGGAGGTTTACATGTTCTCCCTCTTAACCTGAAAACGTCAGTTTTGTGCCACAACAAACCTCAAATCATCGCCGATTGTCTTACTTGCCAAACAAAAATACACCACAAACTACTTTGATAGGTTACGTTATGCTATTTTCACCAAAGCACAATTGGAAATA